AAAAAATAATCTCCTGAAGGGTAACCACTCAACCAAAGGCAAGTCTTCAAAAAGCTAGAGTTATAGCACACACTCCCAAGGAATAACGGAGTCAAACTCCAGCTATTCATTTTATAATTTTTTTTATTCATTCACGGGATAAGGGTGTCACTGGCTAGGCAGCATTTATTGTCCATCCCTAATTGCCCAGAGGGCAGTTCAGAGTCAACCACAATGCTGTGGGTCTGGAGTCACATGTAGGCCAGACCAGATAAGGATGGCAGTTTCCTTCCCTAAGGACATTAGTGAACCAGATGAGTTTTTCCAACATCGACAATGGATTCAGAGTCATCATTAGACATAATTTCAGGTATTAATTGAATTGAAATTCCACCACCTGCCATGGTGGGATTCGAACCCCAGTCCCAGGAATGTTATCTGGGTCTCTGGATTAACAGTCCAGTGATAATACCACTAGGCCATCACCTCTCCATAAAAGCTCACAATTAACGTTTGATCATTGCATTGCAAAGATAAGTCAATGTCATATACTATCTAAACCATCCTGTATTCTAAAGCTTTCATCTTCACTATTTACCATAGGTTTAACAAAACAAGTATAATGAGTCAAGCTAAGACATGAACAGTCATAATGGTCCCTCAAGCCTGCTCCATCGTTCACGACGATCATGACTGACCTGACTGTGGTCTTGACATCACTTATCCGCCTGTCACCTCCCCTCTCTTGCAAATCAAAAATCTGTCTACCTCAGCTTAAATATATTTAACGATCCAGTCTCCACTGTCCTCGTCTCCCTCTTTAATGGGAGACACATTACTTTTAAACTACATGTCTCTTGTTCTAGATTTCCTCATGAAAGGGACCAACTCAACATCACTCAATCAAGCCCCATTCAAGACTTTCAAGATGTGAGAAAAACTCATTCCTCCAAGGAACCAGCATAGTGAAATGAAATTTCTAATGAAATCACACCCCTCCTTAAGTAAGGAGGCCAAAATGGCACAAAGTACTCCAAGTGCAGTTTCATCAATGCCCTGCAAACGTGGCAAATCTTCCCTACTTTTAAACTCCATCCCCTTACAACGAAGGCAAATCTTCCATTTGTTTACTTGTGGTATCTGTATGCTAACCTTTTGAGATTCATGTACAAGGAAACCAGAACAGTTTGTGCAATAACACTCTGAAGTCTGTCTCGATTTAAATAATATATTTTTCTATTCTCTCCAAAGTGAAGCACCTCATATTTTCCCAGATTATACTGCATCTGCCAAATTTTTGCCCATTCACATTTCTTTGTAAACTCTACATACTTCTTATACTTACTTTCCTACCTATCTTTGTATTGTCAGTAAATTTGGCTAAGCAAGATCCCTTCATTGAAGGCAGCAGTACTGGTTCCTGCAACTTTCCACTAGTTAGTTTACTGATATAAAAATGACCTCTTCATTCTGATTCTTTGATTCCTGTTAATTAGTCAATTCTTTATCCACGCTAATAAATCCTTCCCAAATTCACAATATCTTATGTAGTAACTTTTTAACATGGCACAACATTGTGTGCCTTATGGAAATCCTAAGGCACTTAAGCTACTGGTATCCCTTTATCTACCATCCTTATTGCTTCCTCCAAGAGCTCAGCCAACTGCAATCTGTTATAATCCTAGCTGAAATTATTACTGAACAAGTCAGACTCATACAGCATGGAAACAGGCCCTTTGGTCTAACCAGTCCATGCCAACCATAATCCCAAACTAGACTAGTTCCACCTGCCTGCATTTGGCTCACATCCCTCCAATCCCTTCCTATTCATATACTTATCCAAACGGCTTTTAAACATTGTACCTGTAGCCGCATCCACCACTTCCTGTGGAAAGTCATTCCACACTTGAACCGCTCGGTGTAAAACATTTGCCTTCATGTCTTTTTTAAACCTCTCTCCTCTCACCTTAAAAATGTGCTCCCTAGTCTTGAAATCGCCATTCTAGGGAAAAGACAACTACCATTAACTCTATCTATACCCTTCATTATTTTATAAGCCTCTGCAAGGTCACTCCTCAACCTCATACAGTCCAGTGAAAAAAGTCCCAGCCTATCCAACTTTCCTTTATAACTTGAACTCTCCATTCCCAGCAACAGCCTGGTAAATCTCTTATGAACCCTCTTCAGCTTAATAATATCCTTCCAATAACAAGGTGACCAGAACTGGACACAGTACTCCAGAAGAGGTCTTTCCAATGTCCTGTACAACCTCAATATAATATCCCAACTCCTTACATTCAAAGGTCTGAGCAATGAAGGCAAGCATGCTAAATGCTTTCTTAAACACCTTATCTGTATCTAATGCAAGCTTCAGAGAATTATATACCTGAATCCTTAGGTCTCTCTGTTCCACAACACTGCCCAAGGCCCTACTTTTAATCGCACAAGTCTTGTCTTTGTTTGTTTTACCTAAATGTAATACCTCTCATTTATCCAAATTAAACCCCATTTGCCACTCTTCAGCCTATTGACCCAATTGATCAAGATCTCTTTGTAATCAGTGAATAACCTTCTTCACTGTCTTGTTGTCATCTGCAAACTTACTAACCATGCTTTCTATATTCACATCTAAATTGTTTATATAAATGACAAACAAAAGTGGACACAGAACTGATCCCTGTGGAACACGGCTGGTTACGGATCTCTGAGCCCTGTTGTTAAGCCAACTTTGCATCTAATTGGCAAACTCAACCTGAATCCCATGAGATCTAATTTTACTAATTAGTCTACCATGTGGAACCTTGTCAAAGGCTTTACTAAAGTCCAAGTAAACAATGCCTACCGCTCTGTCCTTGTCAATCTTCTTGGTTACTCCCTCAAATCCCAGATAAAATCTGGCTTGATAGATCATATACTTTGTTTAAAATTGCAGTCTTTCACTGAAACTTAAACACAGAAGGCTTCAAATTTGGTTTTAACAATGAATAGTTTATTACACAATTAAAAAGAAAACAAAACTAAACTATCTAGCTATAAACAGTTTGAAAGAATTCAACACACATGGCAATATAAAGTGCCTCTACTCCCCAACTTTCAGTTCCTCAAAAACAAATAGAAATGTTCTTTCCCTACTTAATCTGCAAATTTGATTTAATTGCTTTGTGCCTCAATTCCTGTACTGGCAGCCGTGAAGAATTTTCCTTGAATCCTCATACCACTGAGGATTTTAGACTTTCTCACCTTTGAATAATCAAAGTAGCTTCTAATCAAACATTTCTGGTCTGGAAGTTTTAGAAACATAGAAAATAGGAGTAGATGATTCAGCCCTTCGAGCCTGGTTTTTTATTCTTTGCTTCGAAGTTATTTGAAGCTGTTGAACTCACTGGCATTCAAATAATTTTGAAAAAATATATCTGTATCAATTATAACAGCCCAATTCCAAAATAAGGTCAGGATCACATTCATGTCTTACACATAAAAAGTGGGAAACATCATTGCACATTCTCAGGTCAGAACATTACAGACTAATAGGTGTTGATTCTTGAAGATTCTTAACATAGTTGATAAAGGGGAAAAAATTTCCAGAAAGAGGGAAAGATGCAAAATATAGCAAAATAGTTTCTCAACTGATTTAGTTAACCAATGACGAGCAACAAATGGAAGACCACTACAGCAGGCATTACAGAGTACAACGAAATGAACACCAACAAGCTATTAGTTATATAACTACAATGACAAACAGCAACAGATCTTGAATGATACATCTAAATATCCATAGAAAGAATATTCACATCTTATCGCAGTTCCCGTTTTAACCCAACAAAAGGGGAATGGCTATTGCATCAAATTTCTATTTATGATCCTCCTGAATTTCAAACCCTAAATGTCAAATAATCATCAGCCTTTAAAATAAAGTTATACTTCTGTTCCACAAACAGAGATTGGGCGTTCTCAATACATCCAAAATGCTTACAATGTCTACCCACATTCAAGGTGGTATTATTAGTAGACTCACAGCAGACAATCATCCTTGCCTGTGAGGGATAGCCAATAATCATGAAATTAAGGGAATAATATGGAATTTAATGAAAGACTGATGAAAAACAGTGCATTAGCTTATTTGAGACAATTACAGAGTCATAGAGTTACATAGCATGAAAACAGACCTTCGATCCAACTCATCCATGCCAACCAGATATCCTAAATTAATCTAGTTCCATTTGCCAGCATTTGGCCCATATCCCTCTAAACCCTTCCTACTGATCCACCCATTCAGATGCCTTTTAAAGGTTGTAATTGTACCAGCCTTCACCACTGCCTCCGGCAGCACATTCCATAAAAGCACTACCCTTTGCGTGAAAAAGTTGCCCCTCAGGTCCCTTTTAATATCTTTCGCATCTTACCTTAAACCTATACCCTCTAGTTTTGGACTCCCCTCCCCTAGGAAAAAGACCTTGGCTATTCATCCTATTCAAGCCCCGCATGGTTTTATAAAAAAAATCTTCACCATCAACATTGTTAAAGGCTAGGCCAGTGGATCCTCGATGTAACACCACTTTTCTCGGTTCCTTAGAATAATAATTTCTACATGATCACCCCTCCGCCTCCAATTCTTCAAGGCTATTACTATATGTAGATTAACTTACAATTTATGAAACCTAACAACCAACTAAAAATCCACATCACAGCGCAAATTTTAAATGGCATTGCTGAGGAATATTCACTGAACAATTTATAGGTACAGAATTAATACACTGGAAATGACACCTCCAATGTCGACAGACTGAAAAGCCAACCATGTCTGAGTAACTAATACAAAACAAATACAGGTTATTTTATAGACACTCAATAGGAAACACCAGACATTTGGCAGGTATAATCAGTTGAATTTAATAACCAGTATTTAAACTTTTGATGAAGGTTTTCTAAATATGCAGCTGTAGCACATTGACATTTACAAAATTAAAAGTACAACATAAATTTGTTTTTTGAATGCAGTTTAACTGCTGTAAAGCACTCACCTTCAGGCCTGTATTGTGCCACAATCGTGACTGCTTGCCCAGCATTTTTCAGTGCCGCTGCTGCCTGCTCATGGGTGGCACTCCGCAAATCAATACCGTTCACCTGCATCAAAGAGAGTCGACATTTTGAAATGAACACTCAGAACTTTTTGTGCATCCCTGCAACTCTTTCAAATATTAATATCATAAAGTAACAAATTAATTACATTAGAATTACAGATTTAAATGTTCTTAAAAATTAGAAATGAGTTATTTAACTTTTACAGATTGAGATCCTGAAACACTGTTTTGGTTCACTGTCCCCCATCAGTGAAGTGCACAGGAGAGCCCTGCTTTTTTTTTGGAAGCATCAGTCAATCCCTTCCCTGCTCTTAACACAGAAATGGTATGATCAGGCACTGTAATGGTTAAATTACCTGCTGAAATTCAGTGTTAAAGCATGGGTGCAGCAGTTCTGTCAGAATCTAAAGTCTCAGAAACAAAGGGATGAGAAAATTGGTGGAAAGGAACTGTTGTACGTGTTATCTGTATTGATAATTTTTTATTATTTGGAAGCATTAAATTGACAAAAACCATATGGACTGTTGATCTGAGGAACTATCTGCTTCAATAATTCCATAACAAAAGGGAGGCAGCTGAAATGTGTACACAGCACAGGGCACGTGTGCGTTCCATTGCAAACAAAGCCAGCAGTAGACGTCACATTTTTCTGAGCACCCATTCCTAACTTTATACTGAATTGAGAAGAATTGTCTATTTTAGGTAAATGTATTTTCATTTCTCTAGATGTGATTAATGCAAGACGTAAATACTTAACCAACATAATAAATGCACCAAAGCTGCTTGGTTTCTATGTTTTCTGTTTTGAATTTAATCTGTTAATGCAGAACTATTTCTTCCACTACATACAGGAAACTGACATTGCTGTTATTTCAAATCATTGTCTCTTATCTCAATCTAATGTCAATATAAATCACTATTGGTCCATAACCTGGCGTGGATAAATTTTACTTTCTATCACAAGCCTTCACTTGTGAAAATTGATACATTAAATAAGAATTGAAGGAATCTACTCAACACTAAATTAAGCAATACTGATTTGATGCAAATACTTCCCAGATCCTCATATATAATGCATGTGCAGAACCACTGGTGGGATATTTTGCTTTAATGTGTCAACAGTCGAAAATTCCATGCAATCTCTCCCTATACAGTTATCATTGAGATTTTAATAAATGTGTAAAAATGATTAGAAGCTTATTGATGGGTTTTGGGAAGGAGAGTTAACCAATCAGGACATTCAGGAAATAAGCTCAAGGGGGTTGATAATTACATCAAATGGCAACGCCATAAAAACAAAGTTACCAGGCCGATCAGGGAATAAATAAATTTAAACTTCAAGATGCTGGAAGTTATACCGAAATAATCCTGTCCCCTTTTCTTAGTTCACCGCTCAGGTCAGCTGGGCCTCCTGCCAATATGAAGGAAATAAATATTCCTTCCCCATCTTCACCACCGACAATGTTAAAGCCTAGGCCAGTTGATCCTCGATGTAGCACCACCTTTCTGGGTTCCCTAGAATAACAAAACGTAGTTAAGAAGCAACTTACCAAACCAGCTACTCGATTTGTTTCATTAGAGTAAATTAGTACAGAACATTTTCTCAGATCGATTCAAGAAACCTTGTCAAGGTTGAACATACAGTTAAAAACCGAAAGAACTGCAGATGCTGTAAATCAGGAACAAAAACAAAGTTGCTGGAAAAGCTCAGCAGGTCTGGCAGCATGTGTGAAGGAAACAAAAAAGGGTTAACGTTTCGGGTCCGGTGACCCTTCCTTAGAACTCAGTTCTGAGGAAGGATCACTGGACCCGAAACGTTAACTCTGAACATACAGGTAATGGTTAGAGAGATTATTAAAGCCCTTGCAGGAATATTCACAGACACCATATACAGGCAGAGTTAATTTTAAAAGATTGATTCACTGGCTGTGCTTCTATTCACCCTCTTGTGGCTTTTAGAGGTAGAAGGAAATAAGGAAAGGTTTGCAAAGAGGATGCTAATTGGACCAGTGGAAAATATATTTCCCCCAAGATGACATCCTTGAGGACATCATCAACAAATTTAAGGAATGGCTTTGAAGATTTTTTTCCCTTGTAAAACCAGTCAGGAAAGCAACAGGGAGAATGAACCAGGCTTCCTGCTCCCGATCTCTCTGGGTATACAAAGTCAGAATCAAGATCAGTTGATGTTGTCAGCTGGCTTGCAGAAAGGGACAACTAAACAATGGTTATTTGGGCAGAGTTTCAAAGGGCTCTAAATAGATGCTGCTAGATGAAAGTTGAATATTCCAACAGAAAATATCTCCTCCAGTGCCAAAAGGAATCCAGAGGAAATCTGATTCAAAGCATCACTCAACCCTAAATTAATACTTTAGAATTGGATTCTTTCCAGATAGTTGTAAGGGTCACTTGGACAATAGGCAGTGACCATATGTGCAACGTGTTGTTGCCATTTAGGCAGAAGAAAATAGGAAAAAGAAGGTGGCTGATCCAAAAGAATTGGCAGTTCATGGAATTACATGTTCCTGCACATCTTCAAGGGAAGTCAGAAATGCACAATTACCCAGTATTTTGATCCATTCAATGCTTCTCAGATGCTGAAGCAGCTTTTATAATCATGCAGTAGGACTTGAATTGATAAATAGCAAGGGGAGAAAAGCAGGAGATTTATTTTCTACTTGAACTCCTATAGATGCTGTATTACTGATTGAAATTCAGTCTTTGAGCTCAGAATTTGCAAAAAGCTAATCTCGGTGAGATAAAAAAAACTTTCTAAAACCCAAAGAACTCAGGATGCTGTAAATCAGAAACAAAAACAGAAATTGCTGGAAAAGATCAGCAGGTCTGGCAGCATCTGTGGACAGAAATCAGACTTAAAGTTTCAGGTCCAGCGACTGAGGAAGGGTCACCAGGCCCGACATGTTAACTCTGATTTCTCTCCACCGATTAAACTTTCTGCCTGTAGACAGTTGGCAGCAAGATTGAAGAACCATAATGTTAGGATCCTAGGGCATTAGGCACCTCTGGTAAGAGTCCAAAGTGGTGCTTTATTATTTGGACCTCAGTAAAAGTGTTCCCAGTTTTGCTATTACTATGTTTAGAACACAATGAGCCGAATCACAGCCAGCACCATCAGGCCAAACAAAAAGAAAGCAAAAAAAAAGTCAAAGTGCTCATCAGCTTGTAATCCAGTTCGTTGTCTTGTAGACTGAGGTTAGCCACACTTGGAACCCAAATTTCCTGAGTCTCCTGAGTAAAAAGAGCGAAGGGATGTAAATTCAGAACCGAATGGCACAGCTGCGTTACGTCTTCAGATGGCCACTGTTGGTACCATGATGTCTGATACATCCTCACCACAGCTTGTGTGTGACTATCTGGCAAATTTGCTGCCACTATACTCCTTTTAGGTTCCAAGCTACAGGGTCTGTTTTTTTTTTCTGGTATGAAAGGGGAAAGCCAGCAAGTCATGTAAGTAGGCTCTTAGATTAAACAAGATATGGTTTACTGCATGACAGTAACTCAGCACGATTTACGTAATTAGTTAGACGTTATTACTAACACTGTGGAGGAGAAAACAGAGTTAACGTTTCGGGTCCGGTGACCCTTCCTCAGAACTGAGGTCACTGGACCCAAAACGTTAACTCTGTTTTCTCCTCCACAGATGCTGCCAGACCTGCTGAGCTTTCCCAGCAACTTTGTTTTTGTTCCTGATTTACAGCACCCGCAGTTCTTTTGGTTATTACTAACACTATTGGGAGATCAAAGGTAACAGATCTGTCCACTCTGAGATCATGGAATATGCTGCTTTTCCCTACCCAAAGCTTTAAGACATCATATTGGGTGAAACTTAATGCTCTCCTCAGCACTGACCTGTTCATAGACCAAGACTTTATTTAAGATCACCCTGCAAGCTTCCCCCCTTATGTAGATGAACGTATAAAGGTTAATAAGTTATATTTACCACTATCCCATTAGCATGCTATGTGACCACCCCTCACCCCAAATGCAGTCTCTGACAAAAACCATAAAGCAACTAGTGTGGTCAGCAAACTAGACAGCAAATACTGTCAGTGTTAGTGCCATGGAACAAGGAGACCTCACAGGCATGAGCAGTGCCCAGCTATTCAAAAAAAAAAAAAAAAAAAATGCTATAATGGGGAAAATAATATGCCACTCCCAGAAGAAGGGTTATGGAGCAAGAAAAGGTCAAATAGCTATTTGTGAAAAGATATCAGTGAGCTAGCCCAACCTACATTAGAAAATGAATCAAATGTATTCCCAGGGGATTTAAGTGATCCGAGCCATTTGGTTTGAGAAGTTTTTTTTAAAAAATCAGTTGTGTGTTACATTTAGCCCATTTCTGAAATTAAATCTTCTTGGTAATATTATTTCTGTCATTATGTCTTCCCAACATAAGTATTTGTTCTTCTGTCTTTTGAACTATTCAATTCTGAAATATAGAAATGCTGTTTTATTTTCTTTATTTAAAAGGGTTTTAAATGCACAATTCAGCAGCATTGCATCTCTGTCCTGCTAACTGGACGATTTCCTCAACCTTGATAAATTCTTCCTACCTTAAGAACTGCTTCAATTATGGATCACCCACTTTTACTGCAGCCTCAATAATCTCCTTACTTTCTTCTTTCTCTTTGCTTAGGTTTCTAAATTGCCCTTTTATTGCTTTAATTCTGGCTTTGCAATGTTCCAAATGCTCCTGTTTTCTCCTCCACAGTGTTAGTAATAACGTCTAACTAATTATGTAATTTTAATTACATCTATGGTCCTCAATTTTCCCTACAGTAACTGTGCCTCATGGTGTCCAATCGCTGTAGAGGCAAAGCTCGCTCTATGTTTTAGGTGCTTCTTTTTTAATTTCATGTCTCTTCAGTCCACAATTGTGCCTTTTCTTAAACGAAAATGTTTCCTTTGCATACCAAGGATTTTAACTTTACTCACAAAACAAGAAGTTACATCCCTTCCCCGCTTCACAAATTCCCACATCTTCCACACTATGCCAACTGCACTCTATAGGTTGTGTATTTAAGTAGCTTGTAACTTAAATGAGTCAGCTTTGCTTTGCCAATGTTCAAGCAATAGGTTTAGTCAGTGCTCTAATTAACTAACTTCACTGCTGCTCTCTCAGTAAAGAACTTCCTTATTTGAGACCGACAGAAACTTTAAATTTTAGATTTAAATTAAACTTGCATTGGTTAGATACAACTGAACGCATTACAGAGGGTATTTAACAATCAACCATACTGAATCAGGAGTCACCAGTTGAGGATAACAGATTTTTCTTCCCTTAAGGACATTAAATGAACCAGATGTGTTTGTACAATTGACAGGAATTTCTTGGTCGCCATTAGATACCCTTTAACAGAATTCAAATTCCCCCATCTATTGTGGTGAACATTTGCTTACGTCTCAGCTTTATTAAGGCAGAGACAATATCGCTACACCGACACCACCCCGATGGGTACCTCTCTATTTTTGAGCCAAAGGCCTACAAACTAGACTAAGTGGGCTAATAATGCTATAAGTTTCAATGCAGAAAGTTAATGCATTAATGGTGCCATTTTTCCTACATTTTAAAGAATATGCTTACGGAATTACAGACAACGCTCATAAGGGCAATATTTATTACCCATCCCTCAATATCTTTGAGACCTTGACAAAGAACATCTTGGACCACTGCACTGAATGAGATGTAGATACCTTTTTCTTAAATATTGATCTGGGCATCCCTGCGAGGTCAGCATTGATTGTCCCTAATTGCCCTTGGCCATTTCAGAGGTCAGTGTGATAAAGAACCAACCGCATTGCTGAGTCGTATATAGACCAGACCAGGTTAGGACGGCAGATTTCCTTCCCGAAAAGACATTATGAACCAGACAGCTTGTGTGACAAATCGAAGACAGTTTCACGGTACCATTACTGCAACAGTTTTCAATTCCAGATTTTCATCAACTCAATTCAAATTTCATCAGTGGCCATACTGAGATGCAAATCAGTGACCCCAGGTCATTAGCCCAGGCCTGGTTTTGTACAGTATCATAAAATACAGAAAAGGCCCGTTACTCCAAGTCTGTACCGCCAAAGCTACACTAGTCCCACCTTCCAGCACTAGGCCTATAGCCTTGAATGTTATAACATTTCAAGTGCTCATCTAGGTGCTTTTTAAAAAGGTTGTGAGGTTACCTGGCTGAATCATCTTCCCAGGCAATGCATACTAAACTTTCACCACCCTCCGGGTGAAAATCCTTTTCTGAAAATCCCCTTCAAACCTCCTGTCTTTCACCTTAAAATCATGCCCCCTCGTTACTGGCCCTACAAATACGGGGAACAGCTGCTTTCTATTCACCCTGTCCATTCTCCTTGTAATCATATACATGTCCACCAGGTTCCTCCCCAACCTTCTCTGCTCCAAAGGAACCGAGCTTATCCAGACTCTCTTCATAGCTAGAGCACACATCCTTCCTGTAGTGCAGAGACCAGAACTGCACACACTATTCTAA